TGTACCTAACCAACTGCAATGAAGAAATGGATTTTTTTGTCTGAAAGGATCTTGAACTGTTGCATGCATGAGGAAGGCAGGAAGAGCAACTTTATCAGATAAACAGGAGACTGACGCAGCCCTTCAGTTTCAAATATGTTTGACTGGCTCCTTTAGAAAAAAAAGGTGTCCCATCAAAGTTCTTGAGTTCAGGAGATAGCAATGTTGAGACACTTATTGCTATTTTGCACATGGCTCCATTCTTGCTTACCGAATCTCCACCCTGGCATTCTTGCCATTTTTCAGAAGCATCTTGTTAAACTCTTGGAAAAAATTAAACAAATTACTGGATTAATGTCAGTAGAGCACCAGCTCTTACATTCTAATCAGGAGCAAGAAGGAATATCCTGTAAATACATTGTCCTGCCTCGTTTTTTAAAAAAATTGCAGAAGTTATGTATGGCAGACTCTTCAGTGCAATTAGTCTGAAGTGCATATTTTAGCAGATCTAAAGAGAACTCTTTTTTAAAAAACCCAAGGGCGGGGGGGGGGGGCAAATTGAAGTCTGCTGTTAATTTTTAAGAATGTGGGCAGCATAGACTTACAATTTGGGGTAGTATTAAAATGCAAAAAATAAAATAGGAAAGTCATAGTCAGCTCCATTTTTAAATGTGGAATAAACCCATAGGGATGCAATCCAGATTAACAAATTTCCTAAAGTTTACTGAGATGAATGATGTGGCAGAAGTTATTCTGTTTCCCAGAATTTTATGGAGGGTATCCATGGGCATGATGTAACATCTGCAGAACATGTCTCTAATAATAAAGACTTAGAAAGACCCATTCCAGAAGTGCACTGTATCAAGAGACTCCCCAGAGTCATCAAATCTAATTTATATGGATGAAACCCTTAAAAATTGTCACAAGCTGGACCTGGTGAAGTTACAATTCTCTCACTGGGATCAGTGGAAAGAAAAACAGAAAAAAAAACATGAAAAGGAAGCTCTGAGTCCCCAATAGGAATTGGACTTCATCCTTCATCAAATTTCTCATCAAACCTCTAGTTAAGGATTGGAATGAAACTTTGGTAACCTTTTGTCACATTGAAATACACTGAATTTCAATGTTTAATAGCCAACTGCTGTTGATTTCAATAGCACTTAAGTGGGCCTAGTATTTTGGATTCAAAATATGAAAATGAGCGCCCTTTGTGGAAATCCTTGCTCCCAGTTTCACAAAAAGATAAGACTTATTTCAGCCAATAACAGTTCTAACCTTGGACTCTAATAATGCAAATGAAAGAAATGCCGAAGCTTTGCCCAGCAACCTTTTTTCAATGAGGATAAATGTGGTTTTAAAATAAAATCAGCAGTCTCGGTACAGCAGCAAAAGGAAGCCAGTTCAGAGTTTTGCCAATGAATTCCAGGATTTTAACATTTAAAATAAGGACTTTGATCTGGTTTAAAAACAAAACAAAACACCACCTTCTGCTTTTTTTAATATACTCCTTGGCAACATGAAAGAGAATTGGCTGCAAAAAAAAAAAAAGTCTGAGCAGAGTTTGCATTCTAAAATACTCCAGGCTGGCATCCAAACAGAAGACTGCTGGAAGCATAGGGACCTCTGCTGATATTTCTCAGCACTATCCACATACAGTAGATGTGTAATTATTTAAAATTAATTAGTCCCAGAGGCTATGGTACTATATTGTAGCATTTTAACAACTGTAGCTAGCAATGAAAGCTTTTCCATTTATTGTTGTGACAGCGTAGCTTATTGTGTTTAGTTTTAATATGTTAAAACATTCTACTTGCTGAAAAGCATGTTTTGCAATACTCAAGACTGGATCTCATAAGAAATATTTGATCTGGACAATAAAAATACTGCTGCAGTACAGACTTGGGAGGTCAAGTCATCGTTAGGAAGAGATATTTAGGAATTGGGTGTTTTAACTTTGGGAAGTCAGGGAGGATATGAATCCATTCTTTAAACATCTAAGGATTATCCGACATAGGAGGGCCATGACATGAAATAATTTTCAAGAATGAAATTCCATAGCAGCTTTTTTCCTAGCAACGAAATTAATTGCCTGTGGAAACAGTAGCAGGCACTCTGTTGTGCTTAGCCGGAAGCAGGTGCAGATGGCTGAGGAGATGACTCTGATGAGGGGCCAGGACCACCAGGGAGTGGACTGCTGTCTTGACGGACTGCGGGGGCTGGCAGCCGTGGCGAGGAGCTTCCTGAGGAGCTTGTGCCAAGTGCGCATGAGCGCAGGATGATTCGTAGAAGAGAGCAGCTGGAGCAGCACAGACGACTCGAGAGTAAGGAGGCAATGTAATGGCCCCTCCCTCCAGGGAATATAAGCCTGGTTTCAAAAGCTTTTTGCTTTTGCAGAAAACAAAAACATTCGAAGAACACAGCATTGTATGAGACTGTCAAGGCTTTTCTGGTTGGACTAATTGGCTGCAAGGCATCTTTTATCTACAAAGTTTATTTGTAGATTAAAGCTGTGAAGGTTTGAGTTACTGAGTTTGAGATTATCTTGCTGGTATCAGGGTTGGGTCAGAACACACTGTGACAGAACCTGGTCAGCCATGTATCATGACGTTAGACTCAAAGGGTGACTCCATAATACTAAGCATTTTACCGGCTAGGCCCAACTATTACAGTAAAAAGGCATTTCAGGGGTTTTTTTTTGGAAGGAGTTATAGGTTTCTGGTGGGATAAATGTATACTCAAGAAGGTGGATATACCAATTGCCTTTTCTTATTGTTTCTTAGTTTGTTTTAATGCCAATTTCTTTTGTGATATGGAATATTAAAGGAGACACATGCTAAAGAATAATCTGTGGTTGCAAACAGCTTGGATAGAGAAGGCATTTGCAGGCAGTAGATCTGAATGCACAAATGCACTGAAATTTTAATTATGGTAGCATTTTCAAGCTGAGGGGTAAAATGTCCAATTAAGTTACTTTTAAAGAAATATTGTTATATTAAAAGATCAATGATTAGTGCTATCACATTTATAAATGTTCAACTAGTTTGTATCACTGTATTTTTGCAAGTTTGTATAGTACCTCAGTGGATCACAAATTAGGTCAAAATCAAATTCTAGAGCCTGTCTTCACATTATAAACCTAGTAATGTATGCATGCAATTAATCTTCCAGATAAATAGCAGAGTTGGAAGGGACCTTGGAGGTCTTCTAGTCCAACCTCCTGCTTAGGCAGGAAACCCTATACCATTTCAGGCAAATGTTTATCCAATCTCTTGATTCCCTCTTCATGGCAGCCCTTGAGCTATCGGAACACCACTAGCCTTTCTTTTTATTATACCCAATTCCAGCAACCATTCTTTATGTTTTAGCTTCCAGTCCCCTTATCATCGTTGTTGCTCTTCTCCGCACTTAACAGTCTCAACATCTAGAAGTGCAAATCGCATTTTATTAAAACTTTCTCAAGATTACTGGGTTTTTTCCACATCTAAAAATATTTAGATTATTTCCTGCTACTTGTCTGATATATAAATTAAGGCTGCAATACTACAACTATTCTAGAATAGCTATTCCAGCTCTTGTGAAGTTAATAATCTCAATTTTACAATAATTTGTATACAAATTAGGATAATTTACATCAGAGTGTCAAACTCACATCACAGTGGCATCACGTGACTTGGCCCCCTCGCTAAACCGGGCAGGGGCAAGGGCAGCAGTGACGCATCCGGCCCACAGGTCGTGTGTTTGACACCCCTGATTTACATATAATTTTCAATGGTCTTTGAATGTATTTTTTTTTTATGGTTCTGATTTTAAGCAGAAGATGGTAGAATTTTTACATACTAATTGGGACAGTTTTCTATTTTGATTTGGAATAAAACAAAAACATTTATTAAATGCCATTTTATTCATATACTTCTCATTAAAATGTAGAAGTGATTAGTTAAGATGCAATCTATAAAGGATTAAATTAGTGAGTTAAATCTTTTTACATCCCATGACTGAGAAAAGGAAGTAGAGTCAGAGGCTTTCAGACATGAAGTATTATACTGAATAGTTGTGGTACTGATTGGAAAGTACAGATTCTAGATCAATCAGCATTTAAGTTTTATTCCAAATTGTATTGTTCCTGGGAATCCTTAAGGTAGAGGAAGTACATTCAAAGATGTTACCTAAACATCTGCAAGCGATCAACCAAGTTCAGAGAACACCAAGAACTCTACAGCCAAATGAACTATATGAAATCCCCTACAGTGCAAATATCATTCTGTGGTGATGCTGAGACAATCAAATGATCCATGCGGACACTGCTTAATTAAAATTATATGCCAAACAACAATGTGCCATCCAGTCGATGTCTACTCTTAGTGGCGATATAGATTTCCTCCATGTATATCTGTCTTTAACTTGGTCTTTCAAATTAACTTTGCCAATTAAAATTCTTCTATTCTGCTGTCTACTGGGCTTTTTTCTTAATCCATGTCTAATTCAGCTAAGCTTACTGTAAACGATTTAACAGTATGGCAAACCATAACTGATTCTAAAAACAATTGTTATTTTCCTTAACTGTGCAGTTTACTATAATATATACTCAGTAGTATTTATAACTGGATAGAATTTAATATGGTAAAAAGAGGCTTGAGGCATTAAATGCCATGCAACCAAGACTGTTTAATAAATGTGCTTGTTGTTTTCCCAGAAATTACAAACTTTGCATATTGAAGTTCAGGTATTTAATGATAAGATATACGAAAGCTTTCAATGATAACCTCTGAATTACTAAACTTAATGATATTAGGAAAAATCACAATATGACCACATTTGGCTTCATATGACTACCTTCATAATAAAGTAATTTATAACATTTCTTTTGAACATTCTAAACGACGTTTTATTAAGTTAAGCACATGCTAAAAGATTTATTGATAGTTCATTGTGCTCGAGAAACAAGTTAGCCCGATCTCTGAGAAAAAAATGAAAAACACCTTAGTTTTCTCCCATCTACACTTTGCAAACAAGAGTTGAAGCTCTATTCAAAATTGCTTATTTTCCAGGTCTGCATCAATTTTATAGTTGGAGGAAAAACGTTCAGATGGTAATATTATGCAATTTTATAAAAGGACATTATAGTTATCGCCCATTGTTATCTTCTGTAATAGACAAGACCCTAGCAGTCTTACACACACACATAAGGAAAAAAATCTTACTGTTGTTCCTCAAAATTGAGTTGATACCTTATTGGATATTCACTATCTAATAAAACAGCTACCAGTGATGTTTTAAGCAGGGGCAGAGACCTGTGGAATGTTGTTTAAGGGCTCAAAAACAGAAAAAACTGAATTGACAAAAGATCTGAAAGATCTCACGTAAAGCATTTCTCTATATAATTAAATAGCTATCTCTGCTTGCTAACTAATCTGTAGTTCATAACGTTAAAAATCTATTCATATAATTCTTGTTTTGAAAAAATTAACTTTCAACCTAAAAGCCAATTTTTTCCAACTCCAGATATGGGCAAAGAAGCATTTTGAAAGATTGGTCCTTCTTTATGGATATTCCTTCATCAAACACCATTTGCTCTAATTGAAAAGAAATAACTGAGAAATATAAGTGTTTCTGATTTTAGCCTCAAGCAGCTTCAAGTCATCCATTTTCATTAATGTTGTCTCCCAAAGACTGCCAGTATGTGATAGGAAGTTTCAATATAACACCCAATGTGTACATAGTTAACAAGAACCTTTAGTAAATTTATAGGAAACAAAAAATATTTGCAGGACAACAGCAGCTTTAAAGAACTCAAATTATATTATCAACTGGAAAAAATATCCAGAAACTTTTATTGATGTAATAAATGTGTTAACTCATCCTTCCAATTTTCAATAAGAAAGCAATGACATCACTCTGAAGTAAGCATAACACGATTACAAGATGGTTTAGATTTCCTTGGTCATAAGAATTTTTATGCAACCAGAGCAGAAGCTGTAGACGATTCGCTGCAGAAGAAGACAAGAACGTTTTAGTAACTTCATCAAAACGAGGTTGTATGGCATCAACAAGATTACATGTAAACTTATCAGCTGCAGCAGCTCACTCAGACATCCAAGGAAGGACTAGCCAACACAAAGGAAAAACCTTTCTGGTGGAAACTGCAAATGGTTGGACAACTGTCATCATAGTGAGCAACCTGAAACTGGACTTGAGTATAAAACAACTGAAGCAAAGCTCAGTAGCCATACTAACAGGGTTAATACTTATATCATTTAGAGAGCACTGTAAAGCACAATGAAGCAGTATAAAAGTCTAAGTGCTATTGCTTAATTTCCTCCCAATATTTATCTGCTATACTGCTTTCCAAAACTCAGATAAGCAGCAACTTTTGAACAGGTATAATCTGAATGTACTTAATGTACCTTACACCACAAAAGTATTCATTATAATCAATAAACTTACATACCAAATAGTTTGGAACTATTTCAGAAAAGCTACTGCTGCTGCACCTACGTTCCAAAAATTGCCCAAAATAGTACTATTCCTTACATGAATGCTATTTCTTTCTATAACATTAAGTGGAAAAACAAAATTGCCGCCAACATTAAACAACATGGCAATATTGTGACTGGGAGCAAAATATACTTACTACTTCCAATTAGGTGGGAGTACTCTCTTGGTCTTGTAGTAACGAGCCAACCTGTGAATTCTGCTCTCAATCAAAATAAGTCGGAATTTGGCATCTTTATCCTTCCAACAAAAACAAATAATTTTCAAATACTGTTTTGGGAGACAGCCTAGGAAAAATCTGTTTGTATTTTCTTTGAATAACAATGAAGTTCTCATAAAATCTAGTGAAAATATAGTTTCAATGGTGCCTATTCCACTAGCACTAGGATCTTAAGATATAAACCAGCATTTAATTTAATGTAAAGGCACTACCTCTTCAAAAGCAAATACTGTTCTAGAATAACTGTAGGTGCCGTTTTAAAATCTTGAGGATGGAATATATTCTGCTACTTTACCTTGCGGTTCCTCTCAAGATGCTTGCGGACAGCAACTGCTTTCTTGATTAAGTGGTAAAGATCTTCTGGGAGATCAGGGGCAAGTCCCTTGGATTTAAGAATCCTCAGAATTTTGTTACCAGTCACAAAACGAACTTGGGCAACCCCATGCGAGTCCCTTAATATTACCCCTGAAACCAAATGAAGCATTTTTGGAAGTATTGTCATTTTAAAGTACCACAAGTTTAAAGTACCACAAATTTAAACATATTACTTCATTTGGACATTCAAGAAACATTAACTATCACAAAGGAAAGACTTCTGTAGGTCTTGAAAAAGACAATTTACAGCTTGAATAACGTCAAGTAAAAGCTACAATTTTAGCTATAGCAATGATATTTGAGGCATTAAATAAACTATCAATTCAGTAATATCTTAAATAAAAGCTAGGTTCTAAGATTTCAATTATATTAATCATCAGAACTTGACTGAAGAAAAATATCTTACCTGGACAGAGTACCATTTGGTAAATTTTCAAATACTTCAAATTAGGAATAACCAAGGTAAGTTTCTCAAGATGAAAACCAAATCAATAACATGGATTATTTGGCTGGCTGCCTGATTCCCAAATTACTCTAAGTCAGAGGTCCCCAGGCTATAGCCCATTAGCGGGCTGTGGCCTATTTGGAATTGGGGTGCATGAGTGGCTCACCGAAGCACATGTGTGAAGCTCAACGGCTCGCCGAAGCACATGTATGAAGCTCAACTGGCACAAGTGGTGGGTACTCGCGGTCACTGTCCTACTGCTTACCCAGCCCAGTTTCTTCCTCTCCCCCCAGCCAAGCTGCCAAGCTTCAAAGGTGAGACCACAGCTCTAAGTGGCTCATAACTAAGAACCAATGTACATTTTATTTCAACATACCAATTTGGGAAGGTGTCAAGCCTTTCTTTGCCAACTTGTAAATCTGCTCTTTGACATCATCGGAAGTAAGTTTCAGCCACTAAAAAAAGTTTAATTGTTAGCCATTCTAGTTCAGATACATTGGATAGCAAATTGACCCAATCATCCCAACACAAAACATAATAATTCTGCAATTTCAAATTGCAAAAATAACAAAGGTAAAACTTAAAAGCTCTTGGTAAAGAGAAAAGTACTAAAGTACCCCTTGCTACATCTTCACATAGAATTGTAGCTGCTGAACGAAAAATAAAAGCAGCATGCTTTCAAATTACATAGCTTTTTATTTCATTCAATTTCTTGATACTATGGTTTTTAGAAGTAGTAGACTTAACTCTGAAAATATACAGAAGAGTAGAATTTTCACAGTACTTTAATGAAACTGCAACGCTATTTAGTCATCTGGTCAGCTAAATATTTTCCCCCAATTAATGCTTCTGATTGTAACTAAGCTAAACTGCATGTTTGACACATGTAAATATATCATGAGTTAAAACTACAAAAAGAAAGTTGTAGCTCAATTATTTCCATACACTAGCAAAACTACTTATAGCTTTAAAAAAAAAAAATTCTCATGAATATAATTGTCTTGGAGCTTGGAACTGCCTGAGTGGTTTGTATGTTAACTATTATCCCAAATGTTTATATTAAGATTGTCAGCAATCCTTCAAAATGTAGCATGCAAACACGTACTTCCCAAATTAACTGATCGAGATTGGTATTTTATTTTTTAACTGTTAAATCAAAACAGCACTGTAGGAAGGAAATTTAAAATAACGTGGGATATTTACAAATAAGTTGCATCATCCTTCACTTTGCAAAGTGAATCAAGTCCCAAGCAGGATGAATAACTGAGGCCAGTACTTACTGTAGGCACGCTTCTCCTGTAAGGCAAGGCCGACTGGGACAAGCCCTTTCTATTGAAAGAGAAGTCAAAGAAAGCATATTTTAGAAAAATGTGACAAACTTTAACGGTTTGCTACAGGATACTAACCAGCTTGATACGGTACTAATCTCGGGTTGCCGGCACGCAAGTCATTACCCACCCTGTCGGTGAATCTAAGAAGCCAAACTTTCAGCACTGCAACAGCTGCATAGCTTTTGATTTTACCCGACCGAGAAAGTAAAATAAAATATTGCACGAGTATAGGGAATCCACGAGGCGCTGCCGCCTCCAACGTTCACACTTATTTCTCCATCTCCTACCAGCAGCGCCTCCCGCCTGTTTCATTGAAAGCAAGCCACGAGAGAGAGAGAGAAAAACTGCGGCCCGACAACCCGCCTCTCGTCTGCGACTCCACTGGGTCACTGAGGAAAGCGCCGGTCCCCGCGGTTCTCAACCGAAGTCGGCCTCTAAGCAAAGGCCGCTTCCCTCCCCCCCCCACGCCCACTCCGCAACAATAGAAGCGGAGCTCCTGAAATAGGTCGCAAAACTACGAGCGGAGGAAATGACGGCCATTCCCGCAAGCCCTCCTCGGATCCTCCAGCCAAGGCCTTTGGTCTCGGCCAACTCACCCAGGCGCGTGCATGCGACCCATGATGGCGCCGAAAAGAAAGAAGCGAGGAAAGCAGCCTTCGCCGTCTTTCTTTCCGCCGGAAGTGACATCGCAGGCAGAAAGGAAAAGGCTTCCGGTCTCGCGTGCGGCTATATTCAGAGCGGATCTTCCGCCGGTTTGATGAACTACATTTCCCAGCATTCCTTTCTTTCGTCTTCTTTGAGGGAGCTAGGTGGGATGCGGTTCTAAATCGGATTCATTTGTAGGAATGGACTGACGTGGAGAGGTGTAATGTGTGTGTGTGTGTGTCTGAGCGGCAAATTACACCAAATAAGTCTGATTAAATAAATAAAATCCCACTTGTGCTGCTATCCAAAAATGCGCTTGGACAGTTTCAGTCAGTGCACTTAAGAAAAAGCTCATCAGGCGCCACCTACCATCCAGGCTAATTGTCACATATTAACCATACAGGTAGTCCTCGACTTACGACTGTCCATTTAGTGACTGTTCAAAGTTAAAACAGCACTGAAAAAAGTGACTTATGACCACTTTTCACATGACCGTTGCAGCATCCCCATGGTCATCAAAATTCAGATGCTTGGCAACTGACTCCTTATTTATGAAGGTTGCAGTGTCCTGAGATTCTATGATCATCTTGCGACCATCTGACCAGCAAAGTCAATGGGGAATAGAAATCTACTTAACCACTGTTACTAACTTAACAAATGCAATGATTCACTTAACTGTGGCAAGAAGTCATAAAATGGGAGCAAACTCACTTAACAAATGTTTCATTTAGCAACATATTAGGCTCAATCATGGTCGTAACTCAAGGACTACCTGTATCCTAAGATTGGATCTTCAGAATCTATAATCTTGAAAAGATTCTCAATTTTACTATTTTCCATGGCACAGTTGGCCATTCCCACCCTAAAATACTGTATATCATAATTGTTATCATTTTAAAGGATGTGATGTAAGCTAGGATCAAATATTCCAACAAGTCCTTTAGGTGTACTGTAAGATGTACTTTCCACCAGGAGTGGAAAGAAGTGTAAGAAACTTTTTAATGTTCATTACTACAGTAAATACGTTGTTCCCAAAGTTTACGTTGTATTTTTTTCATTGTACATTTGTATTCATTTTGGTGTTTGGAGATTCTGTACATGAAGATTATATTATAGGGAGGTGTAATGGCAAAAAGATCAGGAACCTGTGGTCTGTGTGGGGGTGTATAAAGGGTGCTCTCCCAAATAGCTGTAATGAAGGAACAGCAGTCATGGCATTTCAACCCAATGGCACCAGTTAGGCTACTGTGTCATCTTCTCTAGCATTGAAGAATGCTGCCCAGCATTCTTGTAATTTACCTTTCTCTACATAGACAGAAAAAAACTCAAACAAACAATGCACTGGAGCAACTCTATTTTTATTTTTAAAGGAAATTTACAAGGGCTGCACGAGTTATTGGAAATAAAGATAGTATAGTAGGGTGGCATATATTCCTTTATCTTTCCTTTTAGTGTTTCTTACGTGAAAATATTAAAGGTAGAAAACCACATTGGACAGTCAGCGACTGGCAGTATTTCTTGAAATGATTTTATCTTATCCAAGTACATGAGATTTCAACTTAGAATATCTGCTGTATTCTTGAATAGTGCTAGGATTAACAGGCCTACAGATCAGAGATTTAGGTGTAAGTAAAAAAGGCAATTAAAGATATAGTTAATATTTGAAGCAACTTTTTTTTAAATGCTCAGTGGAATAGATTTGACTGAAACTTTTTCACTTTAGTTTCTTGATTCACAGTGAATTTGGAAAAAAAGAGGCACAATGTTTTTTTTTTTAATTAAATAGTATTTAATGTAATTTAGCACAAATATTTTGGGTTTAGACTTAGATAGAAATAATGTACATCTTTATTAGCTCTCAGTGTAATATAGCTGAAGTATTTGGTTCTTATAAGAGAAAGAGACAATTGAAGGCAAACATCCATATTTACTTCTAATGCATTTTATTATTTGTAAACCTTTGCCAAATTGTTAATCACAGTACTAAGAATACCACACAGGGAATATTAAATTCCTATAGATTGTGAGAATGGTGTAATTTTTTTCCACATGTGGAAGCTTTAAACTTTAGCCCACTGATAAAGGTTACCTGTTGAATCCATATTACAAAGTGAACAATATTTTGCAGATTTTAGAAATATTTCTTCAGTTTAAAAACTAATTGTATCCTGGAAAAAGCAATCAAATTTAAGGCAAGATAGTAACATTTCTGGATCATTTTAAAAATAGAGAAATACTAGAGATCTCCCATGCTTTTTATATATATGTATAGGTCATAAAAAGGCAGTATAAAAATTTTCAGTGCAAAGTCATGACTAATTTAGTACAGAAAATATGGGGGTTACTTTTCTTATAGCAAGATGTTTTCCTCAAAATGTTGAAGTAAATGTACAAACACAAATTGACTTCTAGCTGTAGTCCACATTTGGTGCATAGAATTTAATTTCATTCACAAAGTATAAAAATGCCATGAGACCACACTTTAAAAACATTGATCAGTAAGTAACGTGTTACATCTGGTTATGATTATTCCCTCTTACCCTTTCGTATGTCAGTTTAAATATCTGAATTATTTTTTAAAAAATGGAAGAGTGTTGTGTATCACGCAAATATAAATAATTTGAAAGTGATAAAAAATTAATGTTGCTCCCTTACATGTTTAATGATAACTGAAAAACACTTTCATAAGAATGTACCTGAAGAACTTTATCTATTGTGGAGTTATTTTGAGAAATAGTGATGGTGGGCAAAGGCACAGGATGCACTAGTGGCAAATATTACCATAAGGTGCAGCATATATTCTAACCAACATCCAGACAAGAACTGCAGCTGCAAACCACCATCATTAAAGGTTTTCCTTTAAATCTCTAGATTTGTGCTGTGATACACTGTGCTATAGTTAGACTGCAAAAAAGCAGTATATATTGCTTTACAGTTAATCTAATGCAACGTTTCACAAAAACAGTAGCCTACTTCCCTGTGTTTATATGACTTGTGGTTTTGTTGATGGAATGGAATACATCTCAAAAAGCATCAAGTGAGCAGGAAATACAATCTAATTAGTTTATAGCTTACAACTTACATATTTAACATATTATAACTAATAAACTCTTCTAAAAATGTTAAGCATCTTCTATTAATCACAATGCAGTTTTAACACCGAAGAATCCCAAATTTTATTTTAGTCAATTATGAACATATCAGCACCTTAGGTTAATGACTAATATCATACTTTTGTTTAATTGCCTCCAATAGATTGTCACACAGTCTATCGTATAATTCATCGTGCTATTTTTTTAAATTTAGCAGTCTGTATCTTTTTTATTCTAAACTATTTGGGTTTCAACATTAACCATTTTGTGGAATGTTAATAAAATTCCTACAACAGCTTTTAAAAAAAATATTGGGATTAGTAAATTACAATTATACCCAGCCTTTTCCAATTATTACAAATTAGGGGGATACAAATTAAAGAAATGAATTTAAAACACAATCAACCATACTTCATACACAGCATCTTTTATTAACTTTACTAATGGCAAATCAATTTTCATTGAAATAAAATGCTTTGTGGATTACTACTCCCTTACTACTCATGAAAAAAAAAATCTAAATATTATCTTTAATGGTCACTGTATCAACTTCAGTATCCAATAGCTAGTGCATAAAATTCTTGGCCTTTTGCTATAGTATGCATATTTTTAATTCAGATGATTTTAATAGAAATTGTACTTGTGGGACTCCTACTTTTTAATCTGAAATCACCACTGTATAGCCCATATATCTACCTAAAAGAAATGCAGTGCTTTATAGAAAACTATGGTGTAAAATCAATTGCATCTCTATTCATACAGTACTTGTAGTTCATAAACCTGGTAAGATTTTTTTAATGAATCTGATCTAATCTGGTCCTAAATTGAAAGGGAAACTGTTAAATAATTTATATAGTAAACCACATAAGCATTTTTTTTAGCAAGTTTAACTTTTAGCACTGAAAAATGTTTTGAATATTAGAAATAAGGTATAAGCAACAAAATAAGGCACCATTATTTATAATTTAATTTCAATTATTGGCACTATTCTAATAATGGCCTCTAAGAAGCTTTATGAGTCATAAGGCTAAATGCTACACTGAATTTCTATCCTTCTATTTACGTCTCCCTTTTAATTACCTGAAAAATAATTTTGTCATGATCATATTTTCAAACTGTGCTGCTGTATGTGCTGAGAGCAGAATTATAAAACTTTATAATTATAAAGAGCATTGAAATGAATTCAGGATAACCCCCTCATATTGAATTTGAAACATTTCTTCATATTCAAAACTGCATTTATAACAAGTATTACATTTATACAATTCATATACATCAATGCTTAGATATTATTGCAGTTAAAGCATAAAGCAGATGACTTGCCAGAAGTCTTGTATAAAGTTTTGCTAAGGCTGGTCCAACTATAATCCACCAAATTGCAGTGTTTCAAGCTAAAGTGTATGGATTATCTTCAAGTAGAGAAAAGTGATCATATACAAATGGAGTTAAGATTACTTAGTTCGTATCTTCAGCTCTGCAAGTTGTCAGGTTCATAAGTATGGTGCAGCAGCAAGCCTGTACCAGTTCACAGTCTCCTTGCTTAAGTTAAAATCCTTTAAAGAAAGAGTGATACCACCCAGGAAAAAGTTTTCACGCAGAGATTCAGCACTGAGTACACTTAGCTGAAGTTCCCTTTGCTTGAGCGTGTCTTTGCTATATCCACTGTACACAAGCTATTTAAAAAAAACAAACACTAATTCAGAAGCAGTACAAGGCAAGGCAGTTCACAAGGTATCAGTGAAGTTTAGAAAAAGGATAGGGTTTAGCGATAGCAATCCCAACAATCCCCATTGCCAGCATTAACCAAATCCACTCCAATTCAAGCTATTCCTGCTTGGTCCCTCCCAACCCAGAGCCTTGGTAAAGTGAGGGGATGCCTCTTCTTGAACTGCCCAACCCACCTATTTTGTTCCCACATGCCACTACTGTACTGGCCTACTTGTGCTACCTTATTTAAAAAAAGGAAACCATATCAAAGAAGACACTAGCTGCCCTGGCATGAAAGAAGGATCCTTCCAGCCAGAGCCTTTTTTCACGAAAGAAGGCCCTGGCTGGTGCACCAACAGAAACCTTAGCAAGCACTAGCACAAAAGAAGGCACACAAAGAAGCCCCTGACTGGTACTGTAGTGGCATGTGGTGTGGAGGACATGGTGGGCAGCAGGGGTAGATGATAGGAGTTGGGTAGGCAGGCAACCAAAAGGTGGTCATAAACATGGATGAGCCCTAGTGTGCCCAAATTTTGTTCACCTGGTTGTGGGGGCACTGCAATGGCCAGAACTTCAAGGATAAGTCCCTTCGTTTAGCACCATTGTAATTTCAGTCGCTGAATGGCTGGATGTTAAATGAAGACTACCTGTATTCCTATTATTTATTTATGCCTCAATGGATGGTTTCTACATTATGTTTTGCTTTGAAAAACTACCCAACTATTTCAACTTACCATTTCATTGAACGTTGGATTTCTAGTTTTCCGTGATATTTTGGTTTTCCGTTTAGAGGTTTTATGCGTGTCTGGAAGCAAATACGTCTTTACATAAGGGTTAGGATCTGCACCATCATCAGTAACCTAACAAAAAGAACACCCATTAAAGAAAACTAAAAACAAGGACAACAATATTTAAAGAGAGCAAGGGGAGTGCTTAATGTCTACAATTAATTACATGTCATCAGGTCTTAATCACATAGACAAGATTTCTTCAAGATGACTGCAAGAATTTATAATTCCTTTTTAAAAAAAGGATAAAAGTTCCCAATCACTTAGGTCCCAACTTTTTACCAGATGTTTTAAATATGGTAATAATGCTTATGGGACAATTATATCTTAATTTTATAATGGCATGGGATTAGGTTACTTGGGGGACTGCCTCTCCCTGAGAGTACTGCTTACCTAGATCAAATTCGGAGTCTCTGAAATAATGCTATCTAGTAGGACTTAGGAAGTATGTCTCTTCTGTGGCTGCCGATACCTTATGGAACACCTTGCCCGCGGCAATTTGGTGGGTCCTCACCTTCTTAGCCATCTGGAAGGCCATGACAACCTGACTTTTTTCTTTTTAACAAATTTTATTCAGTTTTTCACATTAAAAACAAAAATCTCTTTTTAGTGGACAACATATTTCCAGGTCATCACCTTTACATACAAATATGACAGCAATTATACATTCATATATGCATACTTAATTCTATTATTACCTTTTCCATTTGACAACCTGACTTTTTACCAGGCACTGGAATAGTGTGTGGAGCCTATGTAGAGTTATTGGAGTACCCTGATCAGTTGACTGGGGCATCAGATTTTTAGTTTTTGTTGCATGCTTTTTTTAGAGTTTTATTGATGTGAAATGCCCAGAGTGGCTTTACAAATCTTTTAAATAAACAATAAATATAAACAAACAGTATTATTGTTTATTGCTTTGGGGCTGCATGTTGATTCACTTCTCCAAAGTTGTATCAATTGTTATTTTTAATATGAAAGAAGGAGGAAAGTGTTAAATATCTGAGTGGGGAATAACAATATTAATTATATTTTTATGAAATAGAAGTAATGGTTTTGCTATATTTAATTTTTGATTTTATTATTCAATTGCCTCACTATTTTGTGGAATATAGTTCTTGTTGTGATTGGAAGGACCAATCCTGTTAGGAACTTTGAATCTGATGACTGTTAGATCGGGGATTGACGTCAGAACCAGGAAACGTTAATCTGATGGGCAAGCCAGTTTTGA